TGTGAGCACGCCTGTGTGTATGTGTGTGTATGTACATAACAGTTCCTGCATGTGTGTGCTAGTTCTGTTTACCGTGGACGTTCTGGGCTTCTACCTCAGGTCTTAATACTTGGTGGCAAGTGCCTTTGCTTAGTGAACCATCTTGATGGTTCTTGATAGACCCAAGTATGTGTTTTTTGAGAGAAGATTTCCTTATTGAGCTCAGACTGGCCTTAAGCTAGGAATCCTGCACCTGGCTCCTGAGTGCTGGGATTACAAGCATGTGCTACCATGTCCTACTTGTTAATTATTCAAGTGAATAATGACCTTACACAGCAACTTGCTGAGCTAAGTGGTACAAGATGAGTTGCATGGAGCTGAAAGTGGAGGGTGATGTAGGGCATTTTTGAACTTGACCCTTGAGAAGAGGGTAGCAGAGAGCACACCCGAGGTTGGATGTGGGGAGGGGATCTAGGTGGAAGTGAGTGTTTTAGTCTGTTTCCTGTTGCTACAGTAGAATGCCTGAGCCTGGATTAAGTTAAGGGCAATAGATGTTTATTTGGCTTCTGGTTTGGGAGGCTGGAAAGGACAAGAATGAGGGGCTGCAGCTGGAGAGGGCCTTCCTAAGAAGGTAGAAGGTATTCATGGTGAGTGAGGCAAACTGGCTAAACTTCTGTGCTACTCACCAGAGGTAGAAGCTGTCATGAGGGTTCTGCCTTTGAACATCTCCATGACTCCCCACCTCTCTACACCTTTGCTCAGGCATGATTGATTTCTTTTTCAAGGATGAATTAAAATCATGATAGTGGTCGATAGGGGGACTTGACAGAGTCACACAATGTCAGTCAATAAACGTTGGCAGTCACATATAAATAAGAAGGAATATCTGGAAGCTGTTGAGATGGCTCAGTTGTTAAGAGCACTTATGGGCTGTTCTTCCAGGGGACTTGGGCTTGAATTCCAGCACCCGCATGGTTGCTCACAGCCTTTAACTCCAGTTAAAGGTGGCCCCATGTCTTCTCATTCTCATGATCTCCTCCGGCACAGGGCATGTGCAGTCAAATATGCAGACAAAACACCCATACCCACTAAATAAAAAGGATTTCATTAGTGGAGGAAAACCCTAACGTCTTGAATATGGAGATAGAGTTCTGATGTAAAGGGATATGCTTTCTGGCTGCCTTTCTTTGGTTTCTTTCCTTGATTCTTTGAACCCTCTGGATTCATATAGACTCTTGTGTTTACCACTGTTAAGCATCAGGGATGCTGGATTTCTGTTGTTTGCCTGTATTCATTCAGTAGGGCAGAAGCCAGGCCCCGCCTGTTCAGGTCTTTGTGGGTGCCTTGCCTGCTGGTAGGTGTCTTAACTGCTTTCTCTGTGAGTAGTAGCCCTTTCAATTGATTATCATTTAGCTCCCTACCATCTGTGTAGGTAGCAATCAGCTAGTGCTCCCAAAGTCAGGGATAGTGATGCAGAAACTTGCTCCTTCTTGCTCTGGCTTTTAGTGGACAGATGCTTGCAACATCCAGTCTCCTGTGTGTGTTAAAGATAGTAACTGGGACTTTGATTTTCTGATACAGTAAGTAATCCTAGGTGAGATAAATCAGCCTCATGTCAAGGTTTAAGTACATTAGAGCCACAGAGGAGGGAATTTTGCTGAACATTAGCCCCCACCACAGGCAGAACACAGCTCCATTACTTTTGGTCTTCAGGGCCAGTGAGAATGGAATTCACGAGAAGGAAAATACTAATTTCACTTGTACTTCAGAGCATCAGTCTAGCTTGTTTCATCTGAAAGCTGGGAGGAAGGCATTTTGACGGGCAGTGATTGATTCCGAGATCTCCAAACTATTCTGTGTAGGTAATCGGAAGTTGACTGAGTAAGTGAAGATGAAGCAAGCCCTTGTTTCTCAGAGTTCATTGTTCATCTGCTTCCTGAGGTAGTGAACTTCTTTCAGGCTGGGCTGCCTGGCAGCATTGCTACGTGTAAGGAATCCCTCCTCTATAGGTGGTAACTTTTGATTTTTAGAAAACTTGTTTAACCTTCAGGCTTTGGAGAGCTGAAGCTATTGTGATGAGTGAGAGGTGTTTCCTGGTCTCTCCATGCCCCAGGGGAGCAGGGGTGTCTGGAGAAGGTTGGAGGAGAGTGTGGCTGCCAGCACATGGGCAGGGAAGACTGTCACTTCCAAGTGGGGATTGGGTCACAGGTGTGTGTGTCTCAGCCATGGACATTTTGGGCACAAGTGGTCAGGCTGTAGATTGCTGAGGGTTGGGAGTTACAGGTGAGATATCTCTCTGGAGAGACTGAATGGGTGGAGCTTGGGATTGTGGCAGCCCATTCTGTGATGAAGCTGTAGTCCATAGAGTGTGTCTCTGGAAAATTCTTTACTGGTGTGTATAACTGGACATGTGTGCCTTAGAGTTGTTCTTGGATTTTGGTGACAGTCTCTCATTGACTGGCCTGGCTTGGCTGGGGAGCACTATGGGGTCTTCCTGTCTCTGCCCACAGTGCTGGGATTACAAGTGAACCCTACCTTTTATGTGGTTGTGGGTTTTGAAATTATGTTTTCACTTGTGCTACAAGCACTTTAACCAGCTAAACCATCTATCTCCCAAGTCCCCATCAACTAACTGGTCTAGAGAATTAGTTGGTAAACAAAAGCCCACGGACTTTAATTTGGGTGAATTTCTCTGGAGAATATATAAAATATTACCCTAACGTTCAGGAGTCCATGTGAGTAAATCATGTGGGTTCATTCCTAAAAGGGAAACATACTGCTCTGTACTGTGGCTCTGAAAAACTTAATACGGTTCAGGGCCACTTATAAGTAGACTGAATTAATTGTTGACAACAGAAGTTACAGGCAAATGAATGTGTGCGTGTGTGTGCGTGTGTGTATGTGTAGTGTGTCACATTAAAGTAATGCCACCCTAAAGGCATTAGATAGGGAGATAATTAGCTATTGTATTTTGAAAAGGTTTGTTTTTAATTGTGTGTCTGTGTATGGGTATTAGTACATGAGTGCAGGTGCCCATAGAGGCTGGAGCCAGAGTCACAGATGATGGTAAGCAGCCCCTGGTGGATTCTGGAACCAAGTTCTGGCCCTGTACGAGAGGAGTATGCACTTACTCACAGAGCTGCTGTCCAGCTCCTTGTATCCTGTTCTTTAAAAAGGGCACACATTATTAGACTAAAAGGAAGGGGGCTTTGGACTTGGAGGAAGGCAAATTGTGGGAAGGTGATGACCTTCAAGTTTGATTGAGTGGTAATTGAGGATTGTGTATGCATGAGAACTGTTTTGTGGGGCACCTCTATAAGTGGAATTTCCTTTGCAAAAGGGAAATTTATGCTGTTGGTCAGGTAGGGCAAAGGCAACTCCAAATAGCCCCTAGACCAAAGTGTCATATTTTGGTCCCCTTATAATCTGGTGTTTTTCTGCCTCTTGAGTATCCTACAGATCTGCTCAGAGTAGAGCTTTTGGTTTTTAATTACCGCCTCACTGATGCAGTGGTTGTCCACACAACTTCGGTTTGTGGGAACAAACCTCATTCATTACACTTGTGTGTGGTGATGCAAGGGGGGGGGAGTTGGTTGGATGAGTGGGTGAAGGGCTGCCATTCTTCTGGCTTGAAAAAGCTCTCCTTTTTTCTTTGGGAGTCATTGATATGACAGTAAGATCATGGCCCCACAGATGGCAAGACAATTTTAGTTTGGAAAAGCTCTTTAGACTTGTTGAAACAGTGTTGACTTACCTGTCTTAATAGTCGCTGCCCAATGCTCTCTTTGGTAAAGGTAGTCTTTTTCTCACCTGAGTGCATTGGAGGCCTTTACTGCACTAGCTGGAGGCCTGGCTGGGTGGGCTGGTTTTCTTCTCATTTTGTGTGTGTTCGATGCCTGATTCCCCATCACCCCAGACAGGTTTCTCTGTGTCCCTTTGGAGCCTGTCCTAGAACTTACTCTGTAGACCAGGCTGGCCTCGAACTCAAAGAGATCCGCCTGTCTCTGCCACCAGAGTGCTGGGGTTAAAGGTGTGTACCACCAATGCCCTAAACAGATTTTCTTTTAAATTTAAATTATTACTATTTTTGATAATTTATTTATTTGTATTTTTTACACATTGGTGTTTTGCCTGCATATATGTCTGTGTGAGGGTGTTGGATCCCCTGGACAGGAGTTAAAGACAGCTGTGAACTGCCATGTGGGCAATGGGAGGTCTCCTCTGGAAGAGTAGCCAGTGCTCAACCACTGAGCCATCTCTCCAGCGCTGATTTTTTTTCTTCTTTTTAAAATTAGTTTGATTTGTTCATACTTGTCCTGAAAAGATTTGGGTAATGAGGAGTTCCCTATCCAGTGTGACCTTGGAGAAGTCACCTGTAAAGGAGCCAAAGGGAGGGGTTTGGATCAGAATCCCTGAAGCCTTAGTGCCTTGCAGTTCTAGCTATGGGTCTCTTGAGGGGTTGCAGGTGGTGTGTCTCCCCATTATCCCACTGGCTCTTTCTAGAGCCACAGGTTGTTACTTAGTTCATCTTAGCAAAATTTGGGGCTCTTTTTAACAGAATTTGCCAAAGAAGCCTAATCCCAGTGCTAAGCCTAATCGCAGTGCTATGAACACAGCCTGAGGCCCCGGCCCACCCCTGCCCCCACAATATGCACATATAACATGGATTTGTCTGGGGAGGGAGCATTGCTCCTTTCTGTGGACTGCTTTCTGCAGTGCTCACTGCCAGGGCTGAGGATACTTCTGGAGTATTTGTAGTGATGTCTGGGGAGTGTGGAGGGTAGGGTGGCATCTCTGGGAGACTTGCCCACTTGTGACTTTATCCTTCTCCCCAACTCTTAACCTGGTCTGTTAATGATTTCAGCTAATTATGTGTCTTTGGTCTTTTCACTGTTTGTAATTCAAATGCTCCTTGAGGCACTATGTTTGCTTTTGTTTGCAGCATCCTGGCTGCCATCTGAAGCACAACTTGATGATCGCTGTTACCATCTTGGGTTAAGTGCTGTCTCATTGCTTTGCAGGCTGCCTGCTGTCTCCCGGGGAGATCATGAAACGAGGTCGCCTTCCCAGCAGCAGTGAGGATTCTGACGACAATGGCAGTAAGTCCTGCTTTGTTGTTCCTAGAGCCTGCTAGGGTTGGGGTCAGTGTAAAAACATGATTTTTTAATATAGTGATTTGAATAGCCAAGGGCCTTTGCATATCGAGCAGGTCAGAGAAAGGCAAGGCCTGGAGAGAAACATCTGAGTGTGATACTGCAGGGCTGTAACCAGATCTGTGCCGGCAAGGTTGGCTGCAGGCAGGCCTTCTGCAGGCTTCCTGTGTGTTAACGCAGGGAGAAAAATTCAGTTCCAAGAGCCACTGGTGTGTCTGTTTTCATTAAACATCATTTATGGTACCTCACATTACTCTCTATGAAGAGGGAACTTAATCAAAGCCAGGTAATTATTAACTAGCTCAACCTGCCTGGGCCTCCGGAGGGCAGGCAGAGGATTGCCTAGTGTGATGTGAGGGTACCAAGTCCAGGTTCTTCATAGATGGCACATGAATCCCTGCCCTTTCCTGGTTTAACAGGACGGTGTTTAGTACTGTCACTGTCTGCATCTCAGCTCTCTGGCAACCTCAGATTTTCGCAGTGTAGCTGAGAACCAGGAGTTAGTTGGCTTCCAGGCAGTCAAAATAAATGTCACATAGTGTCTGTGTTGAGGAGTTAACAGACTGCCGAGAGAAGCTCTCTCTTCAGACTGCAGCAGGGAATTTTGTACCTAGCTCAGTGTCTGCACTCTAGCCCATTAAGCTTAGGTTTGACATTACACATTAAACTCTGGAAGCCTTGAAAGAAAGCTTGCTGTACCGTGAGGCGGGAAGGGAGCCAGGCCTGCTTTCTAGGCACTTTGCCGCAGACATTAAGAACAGTTCTGATGTTAGGAACTCAGAGAGGAGGTCTGGGAAGACCCAAGGAGGAGGCAATGTTTGGGCAGGTCCCAGGGATGAAAAGCTGTGGACAGATAGGGTGTTTGAAGGCCTGATGTCTCAGGTGGTCAGCTCAAGTATGCTTTGTTGCTGCGCGGGTTATGTGGACAGCCGAGCAGGAGGGAATGCCACAAACCTGAAACAGCCATGCAAATTGTGGCTTTCTGAACTGTGGCTGTAGCTGTGGGAAGGCATGGAGCAGTGGGCATAGAACAGAGTGATGGTAGGGGCAGTGTGGGGGTGAGCTGTGGCCACCTCCAGCTGGATGAGAAACTGAGGCGGGGAAGCAGGAGTGAAGGGAGGCAGGAAGTTGTCTCCAAGGGAGGGATTTTTATTTTATTTCCTAGAGGGCTCTTGAGGTTTCCACTACACATGCAGGCAGGTAAAGCTACAGGTGTGAGCTTGGGAACACCAAGTTGGCCATGAGGCCCTCAATTGGAGGATCAGCTTCTGCTTTTTACTTCCTCTGTCAAAAGCCTGGTGTTTTTTCTTTGTCTGTGACACCCATCAAAGTGCTGCCTCTGTCTACTTATGTCCTGAAGCTTTTCTTTTTCTTTTTTTTTTTTTTTTAAGTTGGACTTTTTAAGTTTAGAAAAGAAGTTCGCATTGCAAGTTTGTTCAGGGCTGACAAAGGGTCGAGGTGCTTGCTGCTGAGCTTGGCAGCCTGAGTTCCATCCCTCAGACCAGAATAGAGAACCCATTCCTGCATGTTGTGCTCTGATTTCCATACATGTGCTGTGTTGTGTGTGTGTGTGTGTGTGTGTTTACACTAAGAAGTGTCCATCCCAAAATCTTGGCTGTGATGGCCCATTTCCTTTCTACTATGTTCCTGGTTCATCTGGGAGGTTCAGGTAGAGTGCCACCAAGCACAGTTCTTTGTTGCACATGGGACTCTGTGTGGTTGTGGGGGATAGGAATGACAGTTGCTAGACGGTCACCTGTGTATTTACAATGTAGTTGGTTCAGTATAGAACATATGGTAGCTGGTGGTACTTTATGGCTGCCTGGTCAGGCTTGGTGACTTGGTGAGTGATGATCGTGGTGAGCAAGTAGCTCTCATTAAATTCAGGCCCTGTGGCATTATCTGCATAGTTCAGCTGTGGGCTCCCCTCACCCTTAGCAGCTAGTTCATGGTGTAGGCCTCTGACACTAAGCCATTAATTGCATTGGGGTCCCTCCCCTTGTGTACACTCAAGGGCCTGGAGGTGGTAGTGGAATCTTTTGCTCTTGCAGTGAGATCCACCTGTAATAGCTTTCCATGTCCTGAGTCTTGTTTACAGCAAGGGTCTGTGCAGTGGCCACCTCTTAGCCTGTCCAGCCTGCAGGCCTGCTGGGATTTTGGCAGGATGTCCAAGTGGAGGAGAGGCAGCTGCAGACGTCAGCATGGGGCCACAGCACCAGCCACAGGCATAGCTGGGGCCTGCTGGCTTCTGAGTCTGGAGCCCATTGCTTTGTTTGCTGGCCTGGCCTGGCCCTAGGGAATAGCAGTGTGGTATTTACAGTTGGGGATGGATGGGCCTTTTTTGTGCCAGGTGCAAGCCCTCATCCGCTGTAGTCATGGTTGTTGGTCTTTCTCCAGCCACTCTGGAGGCCCATCCCTGCAGTTAGATGGAATAGTGCTGGGGTGTTTGTATGCACTGTCTATAATTGCTGGGCTCTTGGGACTGGGTAGCCCAGCCAAAGTCTGAAGTTATACCCTGTGCCTGGGTGTGGCCCGGGGAAGCAAGCCCTTAACTTCCCGCTTCCACCCAGAGTCCTTGGTCCTTAGGAGTCTGGCAAAGGTGGGAGCAGGGTCCGCCATTTAGTTTCATTGTTTCTAAAGATTTCATTTTATCTGCAAAGGCTAATTAGAATAAAACATCCCTTTTTTGGGCAGGAATATTACTGGTTGTCAGGCTAATTATAGTTCTGATCTATATCCTTACATATTTCCCCTATAAAAGTAAGAAAAATTAAATACCATGCAAGAAATACTGTCAAACCTTCTGCTTTTCAGAAGGCGAGAATAGATTGGACAATAGAGGTTGACTTCAGGAGCTGTGGCAGGTGTAGCACCCCCTCCCAGCATAGACAACAGGTTGTTCTGATGCTGTTTGTGTAATTTCACCTGAGAATTTATGCTTTATGCCCAGGGGCAATGTGCTAGGTCTGTATTCTGATGCTGGGACACTGGTCCATGACACTCAATATTGCTAGGCCTGTGTTGCATGTTAGAGTATCACTTGACATATGTTACATGTGACATTACTCCTAAAGGCAGAAACATGTCTCAGTCATAGAGAGTCACCATTGGGCTAGTGCAGGGAGGACTTTCGTAGTCTGTGTTTTGTGGTAGTGTGAACAACGCTGTCTCCCATTCCAGACCTTTCTTGCACATTGTAATCTTCTGCTACCTTTTATTTTTGGATGTGGCAGTAGGGCCTAACCCAGAGCCAGGACAGCTTATTACACGCAACTGATCCAAAGCTGGGAGGTAGCGTGTAATATGCATTAGATTTACTCTTGGGCTTTTCCCTTATTTTAGCTCTAGGGCAAGCCAGCAGGGCTATTTTTAATATTTCAAAGGGGTGTGCTGGTGGTGTCTGGCAGAAGCAGAAGGGGCTTGGTGCTTGCATGGGCAGTGCTTGCTGCCTGCTGTGATCTTGGAGCCTTTTGTAACTGTGGTAGCCCCAAATGCTCTGTCCTGATGGAAGCTGGGCACAGTAAAAGGACACTCTTTCCCTCCTTCCTGTTCTTTTCAGTGTTTGAGATAGTTTACAAGACTGTTTTTACTTGGATAGTGTCCAAGTAGAGGTTTTAAGTCAGATTTGTCAATGAAGAGGACTTAGCTTTAGGTGTCAATTATTTATCTATGAATGACCATAATTTTAGACATCATTGCCAAGATCATTACTTCTTGATGAAGGCAAACAGTAAGGGGAACAAAGGTTTACTTACTGTGTCTTTATTTTGAGACTGGAAGTGTGCTGCCCATTGAGGCTACCCTCAGATGACCTTGAACTCCTGATTCTCCTGACCCCTCCTCCCACCTTCCAGTCTTGTGATGGCAGGAGTAAAGATGCCTTACAGAACCCTGTGATTTGCCTTCAGCTATCAGCAGCTTGGACATGAGAACACAGTGGAACTCCAGCTCAGCTTGGTCACTGGTGGCTTTGGTAGATGCCCTGTCTTTGTTCTAGTGTGAGTTACCTAGACATTGAGGTCTCTTATTTCCTGTTTGATGCGCCCCCTTCTGAAAAGTATTGTATGCCATAACTGTTTAATTAGTGAGGAATGTAAGTAATTACTATTACTCTTTACTAGGTTTTTGAGACTGGATCTTGCCACCGCACCCAGGCCTGTCTTCATCAGCGCCCCCTGCTTTGTCCCCTTTGTTGCTAGGATGGCAGAGCACTGCATATCCAGCTCCAAAACAGTTTTGGAGTATTGTTGGAGCATCCACTCCAAAGCCTGGAGAGTACAGACAGGGGAGGGTAGTGGCCTGGATGGACAGGTGGTACATAGGAGAGCAGGGGCCCCACCCACCTGCTGCTGAATGCTTATTTTCTGGGAACTCAGAAACATCTTTGTATTCAGTTAAACAGGAGTGTGTCTGTACGCCTGCTGTCTTCAGCTCTAGGCTTACTGTGATAGTTTCCAAAGAACAACACCCAATGACTCTCCTGAACAACACTTTAATTAGAAAATTTATCCACTTTTCAAACATCTGCTTCCTGAGGATTTGTTGTGTGTGTTTGTACTGACAAACTCTGTGCCTTGTGCTTGCGTATTCTCTTTGAAACAGGGACAGTGTTGAACAGGAAGGTCAGAAGGAAGAGGCCTACAGCAGAGATGCTGGAGCAGGGAGGTTGCCCTTGTTTTCTAGGCTCCGCATTGAAGTCTAGGATTTCTGTGTGGAAGGTGGCTGTAGTCCTTACTGAGAATGGTGTGCCATGTTAGTGGTGATGGCCTTCTCATAGTTTCCTGATGGGTAATTTATGTACAGCAAGCTGCACATATTAAAATGTGTACTTGGAGAGGTTTAGCCATGCTAACATGTATTATGTCATCAAAATCAAAATAATCTGTCCCTCCAACTCTGCCTCAGGCAGCCACTCATCTGCTGTCAGTCTCGATTAGTCTTCCTTTTCCTGAACTTTATATCAGTGCAGTGTACCTTTTCCTTGTCTGGCTTCTTTCACTTAGTGTAATTATTTCAGTATTTATCCATGGTACACAAAGCAAGTGTTTCTCACCCATCTGTTTATAATGTGTTCCTTTTTATTGCTGGCTAGTGTTTCATTGAAGGGATGTGTCATAATTTATTTATCACTTTGCATTCTGGTGGTAGATTTTTAGGTTGTTTCTTGGCTTATTTATTTTTATTTTGGGAGATTATAATATGTTTACATCATTTCCTCTTTCCCCTTTCTTCCTCCAAATCTGTCCATGTACCCCTGCCCCCCCTTCAATTCATGGTCTCCTTTATTGTTGTTGATGTATGTGTGTGTGTGTGTGTGTGTGTGTGTATGTATGTATGTATGCCATTTCCAAGGTATAAACAGAACCTGCCCATTCTTTATAGTATTAACTTACATATATGCTATTTTCGTGGTTGACCATTTGGTATAGTATAACCAACCAGTTGGTGTGCTCTTCACTGGGGAAGACTTTCTATTGCTCTAATTCCTTCATTACCTGCAAATCTTTGTCTAGGGTTGAGGCTTCATGGTCTTTCCCCCATCTACTTTGGCATGTCTCTTGCTGCTCTTGTTCAGCTCATGTTTACACTGTCATGCCTGACATAGGAGACAATTGCATAGCAAACTGCCTGGCCTCTGGCTCTTACAGTCTCCCTGCCCTCTCTTCTATAGTGTTCCCTGAGCCTTAGATGCTGGAATTGTGTGTTACTTTTATCATCCCTTGATGAGGGACTAGAACTAGTGGTTTCTTAGTTGTAGTAAGTGAGCTATTGAAAATATTATGTCAGTGATAATTTGAATTAAATTCTTTTCCAGACTTCCCTTCTGCAAATAAATTTTAAAGGGCAGTCATTTCTTGTGCTCATTCTTGTATGATATTGATTGACACCAGGTAAATTAAGAGGGTCTAACTGGTTAATATGGGGCACCAGGATTGTAGCAGCCTTGGATGTCTTTTTTCTTTTCTTTTCTTTTCTTTTCTTTTTGAGACAGGGGTTTCTCTTTGTAGCCTTGGCTGTCCTGGGCCGGGAACTCACAGAGATCCACCTACCTCTGCCTCCTGAGTGCCGGGATTAAAGGTGTGTGCCACCACTGCCCATCTTGGGTGTCTGTTTTAAAAGCAAATGTAGTACAAGCAGCTTTTCAAGATGTGCAGTTTCTTAGTTTTGCGTTCTGAACCCACACAATGACAAACTTCAGTGGAAGACACAAACAGATGAGTCTGAAAGCCAAGAATGGACAAATGCTGTTTCTTTGTCAACTCTGGAAGTCTGGGGATTCTTTATTTTCTGTTTAATGGCCATGTGTAAAGTACAGCAGAGGAATGATTCTCCTTTAAAGCTTTGTGCTTGTTTTATTCCCAGTGTATAACTATTTCCAGAGCAATTTAAAGTTCAGAGTTTAGGGGGCGCTCAAGCACTTGCCCAGCACATGCAGGGCCTGGGCTCCATCCCCAGCACCACCATGAGCAACAGAGTGAGCATCACTGTCACTTTCTACCCAGCTCTTCTAGGAATCCTTCTAGGAATCCCATGCTCACCTTTGCCCCCCACCCCTCTTTTACAGTCTGGACTGTAGAGTATGGTTTCCTAAACAGTGAACTGTGGTTTTTTTTTGTTTCTTTTGTTTTTCTTCTTTAAAATGTTTATTTGTATGGGTATTTTGTCTGTGTACTGAATGTATGCCTGCCAGAAGAGGGTGTCAAAAGTCCCTGGAACTGGAGTTTCAGTTGATTGTGACCCATCATGTGGGTGCTGGGAATCGAATCTGGGTTCTGCAAGGATAGCAAGTGTTCTTGACACCTGAGCCACCTCTCCAGCCTTTAAACAGTGGGTTGTGACTCCACAAGTAACTGAATGTGGGGGTCACAAAACATTTGGCAACAGTAAAAGGTTTCTAAATGTGCAGGAACAGAAAAGTAAAGGGCAGAATATTGATCAAACTGAAAAATTTAGTTTCCCTGTGTTTTGGCATATCAAATATTCAACCAAAATTAAATTTTTTACACAAAACTTACCACATTCATTTTTTTAGTATGCACATTTGCTTTTGTCAATAAATGTAAAAAATGTGTATATGGATGCTAATGGATGCTTTCAAGCTCAATTTCTTTGGTTTATAGTTAGTTAATGTTTGATTTTGTTTTTAATGCCTATTTTATATACTTATATATATACTTAGGGTTGTGGGTAGGAAGTTGTACGAATCCCTAAGTTAGAGGAATGCCTTGGCCCAGAGTCATTCCTCTACCCAGCCCCTTCTTTCTCTGATGACCAGCCTTAGAATTTCTGCAGGTCTGCCTCATTCCTAGAGTGCTCACTCCTTCCTGTGGGTGTATGTGTTCGCACACGCAGCAGCCTCACCTTCTCAATCAGAGAATCTTCTGAAGTAGTCACAGGAATGTTGTGAGTTACCTGTAAGACTCATTCCATGGAAGTTAGAGCAGCTAGATGACTTAGTAAAGGGTATCGACTTTCCTTGTCAGAGCCCTCAGTCCTGTGAGTTGTGGTCATTCAGAACTGGGTGAGAGGCATGTGTGCAGGCTCTGTCCTAAGTCTGGCTGCATCTGTCTATAGATTCTGTGGCAGTAAGAGTGTGGGTGACAGGTGGTTTCCCTGGTGCTTTCTTGGGCTTTTGCTTTTTAACATTGTTAGGTTTTGTCAGTTTCTGAGAAATGATGAGGTTCATAGATGTTCAGTGCCCAGATGCTGTAGTTACATAGACAGGAGGATGAAATGAGTTACCAGCAAGTTAGGCAAAAAGTGGAGGTGGTTGGGACAGCTGTTTCTGCTCTGGCTGCAGTTGTGTGCATGGAGCAGAGGCCATTGTGGTTGTTCATCTGACAGGTGAGTAGGAGGCAGCGGTGGGGGTGGGTAAGAGGACCTAGTGTTCTGAGGCATTGGAAGGTTAGCTGTGACTTGGCTACTGACTGGCTGTGTTCTGAGCAGAAAGGAGGAGTCTAGATGATTTGGATTTCTGACCTCAAGTAGTGAAGTTGGTGGACTCCTCTAAGGAGGGATAGAAGAGGTTGATGTAGTTCAAGCTCAAGAGTTACACCTGCTTGCACACATAGCCATGCCAGCCAGCTTTTTCCTGGGGTGCTCGGTATCTGGACAAAGGTCCTCATGCTCTTGTAACTAGCATGTCACCACTGAAACACTGACCCCCCCTGCGTGTTCATGTTTTAATGGTTCCTGTTTGGATATTTGTCTCCTTAGGCTTGTCAACAACGTGGTCCCAGCATTCCCGATCCCAGCACGGGAGGAGTGCCTGCTCTAGGCATGAAGATCGAAAACCTTCTGAGGTACTTCTGAGTGCTTGCTTTCTTTGGTCATGTGTGCTCTACATATGTGCATGCCAACCTACTGCCCAAATGCCTGCCTCATGCTGTGCAGGTCTGGGCAAGTTACTTAACCTCTGTGCCTGGGAAGATGGCAAGAAGATGTGTGTCTCATTGGAGACTCCAGTGGAATAAGTGGGCTACTACACATAGGCGCATACATGCCAGCAAGTGGCACATATATAGTGCCCAGTGAATGTTAGCTATAATTATTAATTGTATTCTTTTCCCCTTTCCTGTTCTGTCTTCGCTGGCTCCCATCAACTTTTCCTCTGGCCAGGAGATGAGCGGGTTGAGCTGCTGCCAAGTCATTGCCAGCCTCAAGTTAGTTTTAGCCATGAATTTGTGGCTTATTTGGCAACAACCCAATGTAATTTTAGAAGTTTTGTTTTGGGGATTATGCTGAATGCTTCTCCCCCTCCTTCCCAATTTGTTTCACATTTTATGTTTCCCTGGTGCCCTATATTTTGTTGTTCATTTTCCATGCTAAAATTGTTTTTAGAGGTCTGTCTTCCTGCTGGCCTTAGTTGGGTGGGGTCCCTATGCCCTGAGATCTGTTTTCTCTACAACCCTCACTAGACTCTGAGGATTCAAAGCCAGGTGTGTGAGCCTGTCATCTTTCTCAGGGAAAGCTGTGGGAAACTTCTCTTGGCATCTTGCTCTTTGTGGGATGACCTCAGTCGGCTTATAGTGTGATGGCCACACAGTGACAGGTGTTTCTCTGAGGCCCTTCCCAGGCTGCCTTAGGGTACTGGAGAATGATTTTTCCAGGAGCAGAGGAGTTTCTTGGTGATGGAGTAACACCACCTACCAGAAAGTGGTAGAGACGTTCCAGGAAGCACTTCCATGGGCCATGGGCTGGTGTGGGAAATGCTGTGTGCTTTGGGCTTTGTGTCCATTTTGACCTTCAGTGCTCACTTGATTTTTTTTTTTTTTTTATGGCTTAGGAACATCTCTGCCCTCTATTTACTTCTGTTAATACTGAGTTGTCTCTGTAAGTGCACTGAACCTTTTTGATGTCCATACTGCTGTTTCTTCAGCCTAGCAGTGTGATGGAGCCCTCTGAGCAGCAGACACTCATTCTGTCTTGGCCTGGTCTGTGTAAAGTCCTGTGAGAGCAAACTGCTTCCTATGTAAAGCACACACAGGTTACCATTCCCCCTGCCCTTGATCTACTCAGCCACCTGAACTTTGGGCCAGATCTTCTCCCAGGTCTCTAGGAATGGAGCTGCCTTTCCCAGTCTGATTGCCTCTCTTTGGCAGATTTGCTTGTTTTTTTGTACAGCTTAGCTGGACTCATAGCTTTGACCTTGAAGGCCTTTCCCTTCGGATGGGGCAGTACTAGGCTTGCCTCCAGATCCAGGGGCTTTGTGTCCCAGGGGGCCTTCTGTCCTGTGTGATCTTTGCAGAAGGTGCATAGCCAAGCTGTTGCTTGATGGGCCTGGAGAAGTTAGGAGTGGAATCCTGGGGAAAATCTAATATTGAAAATGACAGCCAGAGGAGTGGCTTTTTTATTTAGATACTACCTCATTCTTTCACAGGACAAGGTTTATCAAGAAATGGCTAGCCTGAAAAGCCAGCAGGCATACAGTGTGCCCCCACACTTAGCACCAGGAAGCTTCCTGTCCTGAATGAGGGAGTGAGGCTGTGTACATGAAGGACAGCCCACAGATTCAGGCTCCTTCTGTTTCTGGTGTGTGGTGGGGCCTGCTCATGCCGAGGCTAGAGTTTCCTTGTGCACCCTCAGATGAGTGGGCTGAGGAGAAGGCCAGAGAGGGACCCAGCCGTGCTGTGTAGCCCTGGCTGCCAGGCAGGGTGTGCTGTTCTGTCGGTCAGCATGGTTGATATGGATGCCAACTGCCCATGAGTCCACAGGGCAGGCAGCAGAGGCAGGGGTGTCCTTTCTGCAGTATCTTTTTCTTCATGGTTTCTTCATTATAAGTTGGGTGCTTTTTTGGTAGTTGGACAGGAGCGTTGACTCTTGATTGCAGTGAAGACAGGGTTCTCTTTGTCCACAGACACTGCTTCCTGGGTAGATGTTATGGCATCCTCTGACTTGGTTCCATAGTGACCTGTTGTGGCACTCCTAGATGTTTGCAGGTTTGCATTTCTTCCTGGTGTTAGCAAAAGTGGACCTTGCTCTCACCAGCCACCTGCTCTAAATGCTAGCACCTCAGGAGGTGGGCTAGCTGGCAAATTAGTTTAGATGATAGTGACCTCTACCAGGTGGTTCTAGGTTTTGCCTTTAGGTTAATTGGCTAATGAAGTTTTGTTTTTAAACATGGCCACCAAAGAGCACACCTGAGTGACTTGCCATCGTTCCCTGAAGGATTTCCAAGAGCCTGTGTTCAGCAGTCCTTGGTGAATTGAGAGGTCTTAGAGAGGGGAACAGTTGTGTCTGATATAGTCACTGCTGCCTCTGCTTGTGTTGACTGAGGGAGCTGGAGCCACTCAGGCCTGGGTAAGGGAAAGGAGTGTCAGGTGAAGGGTTTCTGTAATAGGGCCAACTTACTCTGTGTTGATACAGTGACCTTGTTATGGACCGCTCTGTGGTACTCTGCAGCTGCCAGTGCTCTGAAATGAGTGCATACATCAAATATCAGTGTCCCTTTCCTATTTCAGGTGTTTAGAACTGACCTGATCACTGCCATGAAGTTGCATGACTCCTATCAACTGAACCCTGATGAGTACTACGTGCTGGCAGATCCCTGGAGACAGGAATGGGAGAAAGGAGTCCAGGTGCCCGTGAGCCCAGGGTCCATCCCGCAGCCTGTGGCCAGGTAGAGATACCCCGAGGAGACACATGCTTCTCTGTCCACCGCTGCTTTTTTCTCCTGGCAAGCCAGGAGGCTGAGACAGGAGTTCTTGAGTTAGCAGTGCCATGCCATGAGGCTTGACAAGTGTGGTAGGCAGAGTACAAGCCCTGAGGGTGGCGAGCCAGAGGGTAGTGGGCTTCTCAACTTGACTGGAAGTACTGTTCCCTAACTGGAGAATAGAAATAGAAGTCCCGAGGCATTTTAGGGAATAGCTGGCTAGGGCCATTGCTCTCTCTGCTTTCCATATGACTCAGAGTGGCTTGGTGGGTTGGTGCTTCCCAGGCCCGCAGTGGCTGATTGTATTTTAGGAGATGACAGGGATGACAGCGGCTTAGATGAGGCATTTTTTGACTAGTTCTGCTATAGACAGGCTCTGGATGCTGGTGCTTTCTTTTGATTTCCTGCCATACCACTCACCTCACAGCATGTCTTCCTTGATGTCCCTCTGAGGAGGGCTGTGGTGTGTTGGTACTTTATTCCCACTATTACTCTTTTGGTGTAGTGTGTCCTCTGAGAGGATGGAGTGTCCAGTAGCTCTGCTGGCATCTGGCTTTGCTGCCTTAGTATCTGCTGGCTCCTTGCTGTGTGAAATAGCCTCTTTTTACCATGGACGAGTATGAACTAAAATCCTTCTTGGCCCTCAGTCCATGTCTCCCTACACACTTGATTGATTTGATTGCCATCATTTTGGGATCTCTGAGGAGTGTGGAGAGCTGGTGGATGCTCAAATTGTATTGTAGTCCACTGAGGCTAGGTGGGCGGGCATAGGCAGTCACCGGGAGTCACCTTTATTTAGATGTGGGTCTTGTCCTTTGAAACAGGGCTCATGGAATGCAGGGTACATGTAGTCAGTCCCCTTTGAGCACCACCAGGAGGCTGTGAGTCTAGGAAGCCTGTGCTGGATGGTTCTGTATAGTGCTGACTCAGGATGGAAATGCATGGTAGACTGGAGCTCTTCACTTGACACCTACTCTTGCTCAAGTAGGGGAAATAAATCCCTTCAGGTTGCCCATCTCTCTCACATAGTTAAGTCCTGTCCGTTTCAGGATGTTGAAACCTGTACACTCTGGGCACCCTGTTTTGGTGTGAGTACACATGGTGGACAACAGACCTGGAAGCACCATGACCTCAGAGCCTGGAAAGGGCTGAGAGCCCTTGGCTTCTACCTGGAGCTGCTCTTTCATTTTTTGCACTGTCCCTTAGTTTGGCTGTGAAGTTGGAAAGCCCTTTTCCAGGTGTTAACAGTTTGTGAGAGAATGGTAGTAGAATTGTGTAGGATAGAATGGAGTATGGGCTCTGGCTCTTGGAATTCTTGGTAATGGCAACAGCCTACTGTTTTGCTCAGTCTTTTTGGAAGGTGATAATTGAGAACTGCCTTCTGTGGTCTGCAGCATGCGCTGTGCACAACTAGCTTGTCGCTGTTCTTGTCGTTTCTGTTCCCAAGAACTCTGCTTAGTAAGGCTTGTCTGGTTCTAACAACTTCCAGGGAAATGAGCACACCTGATTAACGGGAAGGGAATTAGAAACCAAGTATGGAAATGAGGGATTTGGAGGCATGGGTGGTGGTAGGTTAGGGTCGTGTGCTAGGAAGAGAAGCTTTTGAAGACTGTAGCATCTGCTTCTGGGGCATTTAAAGATTTCTAACTGGGGGTGTTGTGATATTTAGGCTTTAAGCCCATAGTCTTTATGAGTGTAGGGGTGGTCTGGACTTGAGGATTGGAGGAGGAAGTTGTATCTGGGCTTTGAAACTTTCTTGCACATGGCAGAAAGGGTAATCTGGCTACTTGTTTTCTTGTTAACCAGGGTTGTGTCTGAAGAGAAGTCTCTCATGTTCATCAGGCCCAAGAAGTACATCGCATCATCTGGCTCTGAGCCTCCAGAGTTGGGCTACGTTGATATCCGGACGCTGGCGGATAGTGTATGTCGCTATGACCTCAACGATATGGATGCTGCGTGGCTGGAACTAACCAATGAAGAATTTAAGGAGATGGGTGAGAGTGTGTTATTACCTAGTTCACCTTGAAGAAAGAGCTGTTTCTGTCCGTAGTGGTTCTGTGAGAGGTTGAAGCCCACCCAATCACAGCTGTTTTCCTCATCTCAGAATCCCAGCTGTTCGGAGACCATATTATCTGGCTTTGGCACATATGATGAGATGCACAGCCCACTTGGGGCTCCTAGAGCAGTGGTGGGCTTGTGTGGGATGGTTCCATGGGTGGAAGCCCGGCTTGTTTTGGCTGTAGTGACTGGATTCCTGTCACGCTCTGGTCCAGTACCCCACCCACACTTTACTGTTGTGATACAATGCCACCCCCTCTCCCCCATCTGCAGCCTGCTGTTTCTCAGAGTAAGCCTTATAAAGCCTGCTCCTAACCCTCTTGATTTTACTTCTTTGCACTGTTGATTTTGTTTGAGTGAGGTGACACTAGATGACAGTTCCGACTGCTTACCTGTGTTTCATGGTGTCGAGGCTAGGATGGGACATAGGTCTCCTCACATTCCAGCCTTCCTTTCCCACAATTGTTTGGAATGTTTGTGTTCAATGTGGCTATGACACACTGGACTCAGTGTGGAAGACTACATTAGTGTTATAGAAGCAGGGTCGGGAAGTGATGGCGTGGGCTATTTGTACTCCATAGGAAAGAGTCCTGTGTGTTTGGCTGCCAAGGCTGGATGGGCAAGCAAGGGCTGTTTGAAGTTTGTGTTCCTATGGAGCCTACCTCAGCCCAGACTCTGATAGCAGCTTGTTGTTGAGCTGGGAATGTTGGTATTTCCTACTGGTTAGTTACTTAGATGTGTTGACTAAGTAGATGTTCCTGCTCTTGCTTCCTGCTTATTGATGGTCAGAACAGTAACAAGCCCCAGGTCATTTTAGAATCTGTTTAGAAGGCTCTGGGCACTGGTTTGTTATGTGTGGTTTATATATCTGAGTGGTATGTTATGTGTGGTTTAAATATCTGAGTGCTATATTATGCTGATGTAGAAGATGCAGTTCTGTCTTTTGAGCCGGCCTGGTGCTTTACACTGTCTGTCTAAAACTGCTAAAGATAGTGTGAAGCATTTGCCCATCTGTAGGTGTCCATCCAGTCCAGGGTCCTATTCAAAGACTTAGCTGAAAGGCTGGCTTTGCAGTGGTTTAAATCATAATTCACCTGGCTAGGGCATTAGGTAAGATGAACTAATTTGGCAGAATAAATCATGTCCTTTGATATAGATTGAACATCAGTTTAAAGATGTTTGTTCCAGCTGCTACTGACCTTTTTATGGTAAAGGTTCATTAGAAGGCAAAGCCAAGTTAGGTGGCACTGGCTGAAAAGTGCCCCGTGAAAACATTTCATAATTTTAATCAGTTGCTTCCCAAATGTGTGCAGTGCTTACCACGATACATCCTCAGCATGTTTTTTCCCTTAAAGAAGAGATTTATCTGATTGTGTGCACATGGTATGGGTTCATGTGGGTGCTTCTTAGGGGTTCAGAAAAGGGGATTGGATCCCTGAAGTGGGATTGCTGGTGTTTGTGAACTGCCCTCCATCGATATTGATGCTGGTGCCGAACTTAGGTTCTCTGAAAGAACAGCTGATTTCCTGCTCATCTTCCACCTTTCCAGCTCATCTACAGAATTTTAACACTTGAAAATGTGATGGTTTTAATTTTTATAATAACGCATATAAATTATAGGCTCAAATTATATTTCACCCATCTTTAAGTTTGTTCCCCATGGGAGATGTCATTCTGTAAATGTTTCTCTTATTGGTTAATGAATAAAGCACTGTTGGCCAATAGGAAAGCAAGGTAGGCGGGACTAGGAGACAAGAAGGATTGGGGAAGAGGAGAGGTAGAAGGATTTAACATGTAGGACCAAGAGAGCAGAGCCTCTCTCCGGTAAGATAAGACCATGTGGAAATACTTAGATTGATAGAAATGGGTTACTATTTAAGACAGAGCTAGCCAATAAGAAATGCTAATAACAGGCCAATAGCTTTATATCTAATACAGTGTTTCTGCGTGTTATTTGGGGCTGGTGCAGCTGTGGGACCAGGCTGGTGGGGAAACAGCTTGTAACATGTCCCCACCCCTTTCCATGTCTCATAATACAGCTCACATTGGCCTGAGACTCATGATTGTTGAGTTCTTGTATTCAGGCATAAGCTCCACGCCTGACTCTTGAGGATTTCTTTAAAGAACTCCTTTCTTTACAAATAGTTTCATTATAGGCAATTTGGAGAACATCTGCAAATGGAAGAAAATAGCTCTTTTCTCACCACTAAGGCCACAATAGCCACTTTTATGGTTTTTTTTTTTTTTTTTTTTTTTTTTTTTTATTCTTTTTGCAAGGCTTTATTTTAATTGCATGTATGTGTCTGTGTGGGTTTGTGCAGGTGCCAGGGTCAGAAGAGGGTTTCAGATCTCTTGGATCTGGAGTTACAGACAGGCAATTACAGTTGTGTGCCACCTGACACAGGTGTTGGCAGTCTAGCTCAGGTCCTTTGCAGTAGCATTAGCTGCTCTTGACCACTGAGCGCCCTCAAGTTATTTTTGATAGTTCTTGTAGAAGTGTGTTGTATTTTATTTGACTCATAGTGAACTGACTTCTTTGCTCCAGACATTTTCTCCTGTTTGCCTTTCATGGATCTGATTATGCCTTTCGCTTGGTGGATTTGGAGTAGAGAGCGATAAGCCAGTTAAAGACATTTGGATGTTTGCTGTGAAATCTGCTTCAGGGCACTGTTTTAAGCAGCAAGAAAGAAAATTAAAAACAAGACAAAATAAAAACCCCAAAACTGGAACAACAAAACCCAAACATCATAATATGTGGTCCTAGCTTTCTAAGTTAAATTAGTGCTGTAGCAACAATGGTACATCTAACAGTGTGTGTATTTATATCCTAGCCTGCCTCTGAGATGGTCGGGAGGGCTTGCTTCTTTATGGCATCTTTCATAAGGAACACTCTGGAATGGAGGTGTTTATCTGTGGGTTGGTCTGAATCACTTGATGGAAATTTTTCTGGCACTGAGATTTTCTTTTATTTATGTTTTATTTAGGAGTTTAAACACACCAATGTTGTTTCATTATAGTAATTATTAATGTGCACTTAGTCTAGTGTCTGTGTGTTTTCCTTCAGGGATGCCTGAGCTAGATGAGTATACCATGGAAAGGGTCTTGGAGGAATTTGAACAACGATGCTATGATAATATGAATCATGCCATAGAGACAGAAGAGGGCTTGGGGATTGAATACGATGAAGATGTTGTCTGTGATGTCTGCCAGTCACCTGATGGCGAGGATGGCAACGAGATGGTATTCTGTGACAAGTGTAACATCTGTGTGCATCAGGTAAGTGGGGGCAGCAAAGCACAGGAAGAAGTTACCTAGGGTTCTGGGGTGAGCCTATCAGCTATCCTGTGCTTTCTGGAGCCCAGGATGCTTCCAAATGGGGCACTATACTCAGAGCTGTGGTTTAGGAATGTCCCATTGCCGACCCCAATCCCAGGGGATAGGTCTCTACCTTTACAACTTGAAGGCACTAGGATCCAAGTGGGAACACTGAAAAACAAATCCATGAAAAGGGGTTAAACTCTTCATTAGTTTCCTAAGAACTATAAGTGGGGTGACTGAAAACAGTGGAAACTATCTCAGGAACATGCCGTTTTGTTCTCCCTTGTCAGCCCTTGATGTTCTTGGCTTGTAGCTACCTTTAGTACTCAAGCTGTTTCTCTGTGTGCCTGTCTTCACAGGGTTATTTTCTTATATATTCCCTAGTCCTGTTGGGTTAGGTTCCTGCCCACAATAGTGTGATCTCATTCCAAGTAATAGTATGTCCAGTGACTCTTCCTAATGGTCACTTTTCAGGTGGTGGTGGGGACTTGAGCCTATCTTTTGGGGATTTAGGATAATCCATGGCATTAATATGTGTGTTTATATAAACTTAGATATTGAAGGAGTGTCAGGCATCCCTTTTATTTTTATTTTAGACTTTGTTTCATTTTATGTGTATGGATATTTTACTTGCATGTGTATGTCTGTGTACCACATTGTTCCTGGTGCCCACAGAGGTCAGAAGAGTACATCAGATCTGGGACTAGGGCTTTACAAAACTGAACACCACATCAGCTGTGGCCTTGCCTCAGCTTGTTTTGACAGGAGTCTTGAGACCATAATGTTTTGCTGGAGTCCATTTTATATCTCTCTGGACTTTCAGATGGTGCAAAGAGTGTCTTTGGTGATGGACTTTGGAGTCCCTGTGGTGGTGGTATGTTAGGATGGGAAGCCATGTGACAACCGTTGTTACTGGTGCTTGTCATTTACCTGAATGGCCCTGTGGTCCTCTGACATTTGCTCTGTTAACAAGATTTCTGCTTGGAATCTAGCTGTGCTTTGTGCTTTAGAAGTGAAAGTTGATGTCAGGCTGTCTGCCAGTGCCTTAGCTTGTAGGTGGCAGAGTTGGCTCTGGTACTCAGGCTTCGGTTTCTTCTGCTCTTGACACACTTAATGTTCACTTCATTTCTCTTTTGGTGAAATCCTTCATGATTTGTCTTTAAGGCATACTTAATTAGTGTAGATATGCCTTTCCAGTAAAGGAAATTCTTTTTTCAAAGGCAACTCTAGAATGCCTGATGCAGAACCTTAGTGTTTGAAGTCTTCATAGTACTGTTTAGATCTGCTAACAAAATCTCTTTTTTTCCAGTATACTGTTGACAGCGGCTTTTTCATGGTGTTAGCAGAGCTCTCAGGGCCCCAGTGTTAGTGTTCCTCTGCTGTGTTCAGCTCTTCCCTGTGGTTTTTTTCTTGTGTCCTGGGCATTCAGATTTCATGGTGGTTGTGCTTTTTCTGTCTGGAGAAGTAGAGCCATATTCCTGTGACTTGACTTCCTGACTTCCAGTTCATCTAAGGATAAAGTTGTGAACAGTTTGGGTTTTAAAGGGCTCTCTGAATGCACTCTTAGTACCATTGTGGTTTTGTTTCTTCACTGTGCTTATTGAAACATTTGCTTTTCCTTTCTTCAAACCAGCATAATGACTTTAGTTGTAAAAGCCTTGATTTTTGCAGTTTGTGCTGTCTTGTGTAATTTTGCCGACTTGTGCAAAACAGGCTTTGTTTTAAACATCAGCTAAAGAAGCCAAATTCTCATTTTGAAGTGTCTTGTTTGTTCACATGGACAGTGCTGGACTCCAGTTGGTGGAATATGTCCAGCTTGGGCAGCAGAGGTCCTCACGTAGTTTCTCAACCACTGTGTTTGTGTGGGTCCCCCTCCCCCACCCCTCATGAAGTTAGCGAGGTCTGGTACTCTCAGTCTTTAGCGAGGTTGGAGCATGCTGCCAGTGGCTGAGAACTTTCCATTGATAACTCTTCTGTAACACTGCAGCACCATTACTTTACAATTTTCCCTTCTCTAGTGTTTGGAACTACCTGTGTTCAGTGAGCATGCTGTTTGGAGCTCAGGCACATGGTGCTTGGAGGAGGACTGGCATATTTCCTTAGGGCTTGGGATCACAGTTAGGTGAATATGTGCATGTCTGCTTTGGTGGTTCTGTGGAAATCTTTCTGTGTGGTTTTTAAGTTAGTTAATAGGGGATGGGGAGAACTCTCAGCCATAAGAGCACTGACTGCTCTTCCAGAAAACAAAGGTTTGATTCTTAGAACCCACTTTGACAGCTTACAGCTGGCTATAACTCCAGTTCCAGGGGATCCAGTACCCTCTTCTGGCCTCTGCAGGCACTGCAAAAATGTGGTGCACAGGTGTATATATAGGCAAAAGACACAAACACACAAATAAACAGTAAACAGTAGACAAAAATCAAATAGGAAATGTAACTTTTCTCTTTCCTTTCTCTGGTGATGTGTTATGGCCTTATAGGCTTGCTATGGAATCCTCAAGGTGCCAGAGGGCAGTTGGCTATGCCGGACATGTGCCCTGGGGGTTCAGCCAAAATGTTTGCTATGTCCCAAGAAAGGTGGAGCTATGAAGCCCACTCGCAGCGGAACCAAGTGGGTCCATGTCAGCTGTGCCCTGTGGATCCCTGAGGTAAGCCCTGTTCCTAAGAGCATCTTCGTGGAGATGATGCTGGTTTTAGGTGGAGTTGGGGTGGGTGGGAGTGATTCATAGGCAATAGAACTGCTGGATCCACACTGGTCCTTAGCACCTGCCCCCTCATCATCGCATGCGGGTCTGTAGAAAGGTTACCTACAGGCAGCAGTGGCTTGGGCTACAGTTTAGTCATGTCCACACATTACCCCACCAGTACTTTTTTGGGAACCCTAACATTGTTGATATCACTCACAGAGCCAGGCCTGACACCTTCATGGCTATGTCCTGAGGGTGGCCATGGTACTGCCCCTGCCAATCTGTGTGTGGCATACTACATATGCAGTACCTCAGGGCTCTGGACCACACATCTGTGAGTTTTATTTAAATTCTTACTCAGCCTCAGCCTTGTTAATTTCAGGTCTGGTCTAATTTATTTCCAGTCCCAAACCTTAACTAATTTAATTTGCATGGCTTCTGATGAGAATATCATTTGTGATTCAAATTCCAGTATTTTTGGTGTGTGATTTGGTGTTTTTTTTTTTTTTTCCCCCTCACAAGAGGAAAATTCTGTAGGTATGATTTACATTGAGGTGTCACTGGTTCAATATTAACCTGTTTGCAATTCAGGCTGAACAATTCCATATTTGTCTTGATAGATTTTTACTTTTAATATGGTTACATGATCTGATGGAATACTGTTAAGTATAGTTTATCTGTTTGCTCACTTCATGATTTAAATATATTTATGATGGGGATGGGGTTTTTTAGTCTTGACAAATTCTTGTCAATCTAGAGATTTGGTACACTGTTTTAATTAAGACAGGCGTATTTGCCATCAGACACTAGAAAGAAGTGGGACTCCTAGATGAGTTTTTATAGACTGGCATGCTAGTGTCATTTGGGGTTGAGCTCTGGGCTCTCCTGCTGCTAATTCAGAGCTGGGCCCTCAGGTCTGTGTTAGGAGTCTGATGAACTGTGTTTTGGATCTCTAGGTAAGCATTGGCAGCCCTGAGAAGATGGAGCCCATCACGAAGGTGTCTCACATCCCCAGCAGTCGGTGGGCACTCGTGTGCAGCCTCTGCAATGAGAAGTTTGGGGCTTCCATACAGGTAACAGCTCCGTAAGAGTGGTTTTGTTTTCCTGCACTGTGTGGTAGGGAACAGGATGTGGGGAGGGGCGGCCTTTGCACATCATCAGTTGGTTAGGAGATGGGAGCTTTTCTGGAAACCCACCTGGGTGTGGAGGCCATTCAGTTTGCCTGCCCTAAGCCTATGTCCACTTCTTTCCATAAGTAGACATTCCTGGTAAAAACCTGAGTCTAAGACACTCCTTGGCTGTGGCACTCAAGAATTGCCTACCTTCCTACTTGTCATATGACACCACACAGACCTAGAAGTCCTCTGGCCTGCTTCCTGGGGATGCCAGTAGCTGAGGTGTTAGGCAGACTTGAGCTTTTTACACTGGTTGGAGCACTGGTTTGGAGCACTGGTTGGGGAAAGGGCTGGAGCAAGCTGCTGCCCTGGGTGCTCTTTGTATGAGTCTCTGAATATACTGAGAGCCAGCCTGCATGTACAAATGCTAATTGCATTGGCATGTTCAGGTACAGGTAGGTAAGTGCAGACATGAGGTAGGCAGAATTCAGGATAAAATGGTGTTGCTCTGGATTTCTGGAACTCATTGATGATAACTAGTCGATTATGATTTGAGCCCTGGTATGCTGTGTCTGACTGAAATTTTAAAGGTCAGATCTGTCTCCTTTGGGATGGGCCCATCATATATATCAGGTATTGTGTCTGTCTCTTGTCTCTCTCTTGAAATCTGGGGGGTGGGGAGGAAACACTATTTTGGCAGCTTCTTTCAATGTAGGGAATATGACAGGGACAGACATGACCTTGACAAGTATGGTCCTGGCTTTAAATGTATTACTTCATTTGCCAGAATATGTTATATTTTTGTTGATTAATGGTTCTTTGAGTAAGGTGCCCCAATCACTGATGGGTGGTATTATATTATTTTCCTGTTTTTAAACAAGTCCAAAGTGGTTTTATTTTTCACTATTACTGTTTCTTCTGGTATTAAGGCATCCAAAAACACTAAAAGGACTATCAGGGTTGGCATAGGGCACCTGAGGGGATTTGGCTTCAGGACCTTAAAGTTGTGGTATTTTTTTGTTTGTTTTTGTATTTGGTGTATCAGTAGAATTTGTTGAAAACTAAAATGATAAATGCCTCTGGCTGAGGTTTGGGTTGGGCAGAAAGAATAGAGGAGAGGTCAAAAAAGATTTGAGTGTTTGTACATGTGTGTGACACACACACACACACACACTTTGCTTGTTGTCTCTGTGTCTGTGTTAGTTGCTCTTTCTAGTATACCAACCCTGCTCCTTAACTGTCTTTCCTTGGGAGGCAGATGGGAGCCTTGTTTGTCTTTCAAGAAGAGGCGATATAATGACTTTTCTACTGCCATTGACCTCTTTTCCCAGAGCATTAATTTGAAGAAGGGGCCAAGGAAGGCTGATGACTTTTCATATCTTCACAAACTAGATTTTTATTAAAAGAATTCCTCTCTGAAATGTCTGCAGCTGGGAAGACTCTGGTTTATGTTTCTGTAACATCTGTTTGCTGAGTCAACCTGAATAGGAAACCCCAGAGGAAGGCCATTTGGCGCCTTTTCAAAGTCCTGTATAAATATTCTGCTGCAGCTCATTTCTCTTTAAGGTTAGAATGCCTGGGTTAAGTGTAGTTTAAGCCAAACACAGATTGTGTCTCAGTCATCTGTTCCCACTTTTACTTCCCACTTGGCTTCATGCTGCTGGGGAGATGTAGTGTCTTTTCATGATAGTGGCCAGGTGTGTCTGTGTGTGTTCTGCCACCAAAACGGATTTCACAGGTTTCTTGTAATTGCAGTTAGTTATAAATGTAGAGATTAATCTTAGTGCATATGTTTTAGGTGGTTGGAATTGGGGGTGGTAAAGGGGCTGGATTTTTATAGTAAAGGATTGAATTGGGGGTGGTAAAGGGGCTGGATTTTTATAGTAAAGGATTAAATTGTGGCTGGCACTGAGTTGTATCTCATACTGAAATGGCGAGGGGGAAATCCAGTTCCAGTCTCTACTCTCTGTGGTTATGTGGTGCAGGGTCTGTTGAATGAGTTTAATTAAGCTTTTCAGCTGTCCTGGAGCACAAGATCCTTGGTTGTCTGTGCACCGCTGCCATGCCCCAGGGATCCGTTGGCCTCACACAATACAGTTGCTTTTAAGGGACTGGCTTCAGCCTCCGAGAGGTACCTCTTTCTAGGGATTTGCTCAGTGAGATCAGACGGGAGAAGTTAATCACTTTGCTCCTGTTGGCCAGAGGCTTGTGTCTGGATCAAAGGCACTAAATTGTAGCCCTGTGCAGGCAGGGAGGGAGCAGGGTGTTCAGTGCATCTTGATGAGGCTTGGCCTCTGTGCTGACTTCCCTGGGGCCCACAGGAAGGGAGCCTTGATACAGTGGTGATTCTCCACTAGCAGGGAGGCCTTTCTCCATCCTCCCTGAGCTGGGATCTTGTCTGTTATTCTGCCTTCCTCTGGTGTGATCCTGGATGCTGCTTCCAGGAAGCCTGCTTGTATTTACCTACCTGAGTTGCGACCTTTTCCCAGCTGGGGATTGCACCAAGGATTCAGTCTTTTAAAACCACCAGGAATGTGTATGCTGAGGAGATTCCTGTTCCCAGTTTTTATAAAACTCCATGAGCTCAAGTCTTTGAGAACTAGATTAATGCCTCAGAGTGTACTCTGTACATGGAGTGCATGCCTTTTAAGGGTTGTGCCATCCTTACCTACAGGGCTGGTTGTCCACTTAATCCCCCACTCCACCCCCCCCACCCCTTGAGATTGTAGTGCCATGACTGGGGGAAGTGTAAGAGTATGATTTTTCCGCCTGCCGCCGCTGGTCTTGACCCGCCGCTGGTCTTGACCCGCCGCCACGCCGCCAGCCCCAAATAATACACTGAGACTCTGTATTTGATATTATCCTGTTGGCCAGTTACTAGTTTCTTATCGGCTAGCTCTATCTTAATTATTAACCCATTTCTGCTGATCTATGTATTTCTCTTACCGGGGAGCCGGCGGCATACTGCTTTCTTCATACTCTCCATCTTGACTCCTCCTTACTACTTCCTCTTTCCTCCTTATCTCCTAGTCCCTCCTATCTTCCTTTCCTATTGGCCAACAGTGCTTTATTATTAACCAGTATGAGAAACATATACAGAATGACATCTCCCATCAGGGAAGCTATAGTTTGGCCTGTGAAAGTTTTATCTGCGTTGTTCCCCAATATTCCTGGCCTTCCGTTTTCATCCTTGTCAGTCTTCTCTGCTTCAGTGAGTGTGCCTTTGTTGTCATGTGGGGTGGTCTGCACTAGGGACTCTTGTTCGCTGCTGCTCCCCGACAGTCTCTGTGTTCTTTGTAGTGCTCTGTGAAGAACTGCCGGACAGCCTTCCACGTGACCTGTGCTTTTGACCGTGGCCTAGAGATGAAGACCATTTTGGCAGAGAACGATGAGGTCAAGTTCAAGTCCTACTGCCCGAAGCACAGCTCACACAGGAAACCTGAGGAGAGCCTGGGTGAGGGGTCTGCGCAGGAGAACGGGGCCCCCGAGTGTTCTCCTGGGAGCCCTCTGGAGCCCTTTGCCAGTTTGGAGCAGAATAGAGAAGAGGCCCACCGGGTGAGTGTTCGCAAGCAGAAACTACAGCAGCTGGAGGATGAGTTCTACACCTTCGTTAACCTGCTGGATGTGGCCAGGGCCCTGCGACTGCCAGAGGAAGTAGTGGATTTCCTGTACCAGTACTGGAAGTTGAAGAGGAAGGTCAACTTCAATAAGCCCCTCATCACCCCAAAGAAAGATGAAGAGGACAATCTAGCCAAGCGGGAGCAGGATGTCTTGTTTAGGAGGCTGCAGCTGTTCACGCACCTGCGGCAGGACCTGGAGAGGGTAATGATTGACACTGACACCTTATAATGACTTAGAGAAGAAGATGTAAAGAGGCAAGCATTTGCCCAGAGCAAGAGATGATAGCCAGTTGTTACTCTCAGATTCTTGTACACACGACAGCATGGGGTTGTGTTGGTTAAATATATTTATGGGCTGGTAAACTCACTGCAGTGTTCAAGACTGCCAGTGTAGGAGCTGCTTTGTGATTATTTTTCTTTACACACTTTCCCATTAATCTTTACTGTGCTGCAAGATCAGATGGGGCATACCTCCATCCTTGCTCCCGTCGTTGGAGAGCTGGAGGGAATTGAGCACCAGGAACATGACCAAAGGGTTGACTCAGCATTGTTTACAGCCTGATTTTGAGAACTGGGATGTATCTGACTTATGGGGGAGGGGGCAGCAGTAGGGGAATTTCTTGTTCAACCTGGGGAGACATTTCCTAGGGGCTGATGAAGGGCTCATCAGACAGAGCTAAGCACTGCCTCCCACTGGCCCATCTTTGCTTCTAGGCTCTCCCAGCTCTGTTGCAGAGCAGAGCAGGCTACGGGTGCTGATGTGTGTGCCTGGACTTAGACACACACCTGTTAGAGAAGACACTCTCGGCAGTGAGGTGCTAAGTCATCACAGAGGTTGTATACCTACAGTGTGTGTGCTTGTGTGTGTGTGCATCCCTGTCCGGGTTATGTCTGTGTGTGTGGGTGTGATTCCTGGTGCACAGGGGCATTGGGTCTGTCTGTGGCATCCTTAGCAATCTCAGTATACTACACACATATCCACAGACATATGTATTTATCACACTACTGGTAGCTGATGAAGTGGCTGTTGGCTGCCTGGAGCCTCAGCTGCTGCCTCTTCCCTCAGCTGTTTGCTGCTTGGTGCCTCCCCCACTCACCATTACCTCTGGAGTCCCAATCTGAACCTGTCTTCCTGCTGCAGGAATAATTAGGAGTGGACTGTCCTCCCCAGGGTCTCCAGCTCCCTTAGGTAGTTTTGACTGAGGCTTCCTAATTGGGGATGTGTCTTCAGCACCTCTCACACCTACTCCCCTGACTGCTAGCTACCTATTAAATTCATTAGTGTGGCAGAGATGGGATGCAAGTGTTCTGGCTTGAAGCAGCCTGTGCTGTGAGGCACCCAAGTGGCCTGCAACAGTTAATGCATATCTCCCTCAAGCCCCTCACTTATTAGAGAGGAGTTAATTCATCACCTGCTCAGCAAGAGAATCTGACTCCTAGATGATTTAAAATGAAAGTGTAGGCAGGGCAGGGATAGACTGCAGATGTACTTAGCCAAAAGGATCAGTAAGTTCTCACAGAGGTCTGTACCACTTTGTTAGAGATGGGATGGTCATGAAAGTAGTTTTAAGTGCTCATTAGAGGCCCTTTTAGTACACCATCTAATGCTTGCTTTTGGTGATGTCCCTTTCTAAACCATGTTAGGATTCTGGGTAAGGTGGCTGGTGTCAGGCTAAGGGGAGGCAGGAGCAGGTTGGTGAGGCTCTCATACCTCCCCCTAGTGGTTAGTACAGAGAACCACATGCATTTGTGGTATGTTACCAAGAAAGGGATTCAGGGTAAATGGGTATTGTGGTAAGAAGCTACCATCCTAACCCTACAACTGCTGTAATTGGGGTGCATGGAGTCAGGTAGTTCTTGGGAGTGAAGGATGAGAAGTCTCATGTTTTGACTGTGTTTTGTTTCACAATCACCACAGAATAAAAGTGTAGAAAATGCTTGGTGGTGTACTAACTCTTTTTCTGTATTTAAGTTACTGAGATTAACATACACTTATAATTAAATTCTGAACTTTTTTTGGAGTCGTCATTTTGCTTTTAAGTAGAATAATGCCTATGATGTATAAGGGAATAAATCAGGATTTTTGCGCGCGTGCTTGAATGTGTGTGTGGGTGGCATTACTTAACATTTATTATTAAAAAGTCTAAAGTTTTAATGAATTCAGTGTCAGTTTAAAAGGGTTTATTTATAATGAAAAGTTATGTTTTCCTCATCTGCTGTGAGAGCTGTCTGAAAACGCTGAAGTCTATGCCAGGCCCTGGAGAGTTGTATAGTGCTTTGCAATTATAAACAAGTGTATCAGGCCAAGGGCTAATCAGGGCAGGCATGACAAAAGAAAAAAAATACAGTTATAATTAACTTGTTTTCTCAGTAAGTTAGTGATCTGCCTATTTATGCAATATCAGTAAACGACAGGCACTCAAGAACCAGTTAACCCAGGTGACTGGAATCGAGGCCTGTGGTCATTCCTGAACTAACAAGTGAGTAGCATTCGATAGAAATGCAGGTGACTCAGTGATTACATTAATTGCTCTTTCTGGCAAATAAACACCTCCGGGGCCTTGCACACCTGGGTACCAATTCTGGAACAGAAAGCTAGATGGATATCAGGAGGTGCTAAAAAGAAAAGATGGTGATGTGATGAGTGGCAGTCCAAGTTCCCAAGGCCGCCACTTCACTCTTACAGGATTCCTGATCACCTAATTAGGAGATTTATTGCATCTGCTTAGAAAGATGTAATAAATGTTAGCTCAGAAACTAAGTACTAGTTTGGATAACGCCATCTTCCCTCTGCACTCTGTAGTTATATTGGAAAGACGCCAAGTTCTGGGGGGACAGTCCTATGCATTTGTCAATTAGTGGAATGGAACTTTTTGAAGACCCACTTGAGACCACGGTTGTCCCCTGAACAAAATGCATATAAGGCAAGCATTGCTTAGAGTTCAGAAAACCCACTGCAACTATTCCTGGCTGTTAGGCTGGTATACTATTCTTAAGATGCAGTCCCTGATCTAACAGTAACATTTTGGAAACTTAAAAATGCAAAATCTTCAGCATTGTTTCTGTTTGTGAACTTCCTTTAAGAGGAAGGTATGAGGTGTTGGGACATGATGAGATGGGTTTGGCTTCCTGATGCTGGCAGCTGAGGGAAGGTGAATTGGGGAAGTCAAGTTCTTTGAGCAAAGATCATGACTAGATTCCTACTTTGGGACACTCAACTCTATAATGGCTAGCCAGCCATCAATTAGACCTTACTCATCCCATGGAAAACATGGTCTTTTTGCTTTATGGATTTAGAAGCTCCTCATCTGAGGTCACTGGAAATAAAGGACTTTTTCTCAGAGGCTATGGTAAATTTCCTGGCATACAAGCCACCAAAGTTGAGATCTCCTGACTTTCCTACTTTTATTTTTATGAATTAAATTTGAGATGTATCTGCTATACATCTGAGTTGAATATGAGCATAAACTAGAATGCCCATTTCATGTTTCCAAAAATCAGATTAGGTGCACTGTTCCAAGTTTTGAATTTGAGATGAGGATTTAGGTTTGATCTTTGTTTTCAAGCTTCTACCTATAATCCCATCTGGGTGGAATACTACTTACCAAAGAGAAATGAATATCCTGTTAGTCATTTCTAATCCCATGTTGGTAAAGTTTTCTCTAAAGAACACCCACTTCCTTGCCTGGCTAGGACCAATGATACTATATTTAAGTTAGACAAGAGAGTGATTTCCTTTTTAATTTTATAATCAGCCTATTTTTTTAACAGTATTAATAATGTAAGTGATTAATGTAGAAGTAGAGATTGGAAGACCCTGATAGTCAGTTAGGGTCAGCAAAGTCTGGTAGTGTTTCCCTTCCTGTCTTGTCCTCTTGTAAACTGACCTGCCTTGAACACAGCTGGGATTGTGAGGATTTAGAGAGGTCTGAAGACTGAGCTCTGGTGGTGGGGGCTGTCTGCATAAGTCAGTTTGCAAAATGGCATGGCTTGTGCCAGAGAAACAGCAGTCAGTGAACCTTGAATTTGCAGTGTGACACAAAGAGACTGCTCAAAAGATGTATTTTTAGGGGTCCATTGATGATAGTTGGAGCATGTGGTCATTTTCCTGCCTGCCACTGCCACTGAGGTTGTTGAAATTTTATGGGCATCTTCCTGAAGAAAGGTTTAAATGTCCAGTGGTGGGCTGCAGCAGACATTTTTGTCTTTTGGCCCATGCAGTCTAGTCACTTTTTGAGACAGGGTTTCTCTGTGTAGCCCTGCTATCTTGGCATTAGCTCTGTAGACCAAGCTAGTTTTGAACTCACAGAGAACCACCTACCTCTGCTTCCTGAGTGCTGGGATTAAAGGCACATACCACCACCAGGCCAATCCAGTTACTTTTACCAGGAGACTAGGACCAAGGGATCAGTGGGGTTTTGTGACTTAGTTCTTGAGTTTTGATGACAGGTGGCAATAAGATAGATTACTGACCACAAATTAGTGGATGTGTACGTGATCTGTATGAGTGGAGAATCTCAGCATTTGGTTTTTCAGTTACACAAATGAACTAGAATGAGGTTAGAAGTAGTTTTAAACTGATGATCCATAGATTCATAGATTGATTGGGGATGCAAGGATAGTTCCCAGGCATTTGCATACCTCTCTGGTGTACACAGCACTGCTGGTCTGGCTTTACAAAGTTTTACCCAGTGGACCAAGCAGCTCATCTGATCTTCCAGAGAATCTTGTGCTGGGGATTCCTCTTGTGCCATTAGCCTGGAAGATACTTGATGAAAGTGTGCAGGGAGGTTGCTTCTGAACTTGCTAGATCCATTGACAGTAAGATTGCTGGGACGATACTGTAGGATGGTAAGCAGAGCTTGGGCACAAGACAGCAAGTCTTGAGTAAACAGTGGAGGTCTCTACACTGCAGCCTGGTGGGGAAGAGTGGAACTCTATGCTGTGTTGTTCCTCCAGTGTCACTCTGGCTGCTGTAGACACCAAGGGAATAAACAACCAGAATCCTTTTAGTGGTAGGGTAAAATGCTTAAAGCGCGTTTGGATTTCACGTGTCTGTTAAGGCCCCAGTAGGGCCAGTGTGTCTCAGGTAAAGGAAAACTGAAAGGACTGATATCAATTGCTGTATTGCTCACTTAGAATCTTTATTCTCTACATTCTAGGTTCGGAACCTCACTTACATGGTGACCCGCAGGGAAAAGATTAAACGATCTGTGTGCAAAGTCCAGGAACAGATTTTCAGTCTTTACACTAAGCTCTTGGAGCAAGAAAGAGTTTCAGGTATGCATTAAGCCATAGAAGGGCAAAATGTAGGGCAGGGGTTTGTAGCCTTAACAGTGCTATTGAGGGAAAACAGTTGCTCTTTTCATCTGTCCCATAGAAAGTTTAGCACTGCTGTTCATATTTAAAGACCATTTTTAAACATTAAAGGCATTATGTTATAGAGAAAAAGCTGAGTTTGGCCTTAAATAGGATTTGAGACCTGTAATGTATCCCTGCTGACCAAACGGAAGTAAGTTGTAAACCTTACGTCTCTCTCTCCAATTTCCTTATGTAAAGTGGGAATGCCTAGCTCAAGCAACTTCTTGTAACTATCAGGAGATTAAAATGAAAGTGAGAGTGCATCACAGTGCTCTTGATAAACATGGGGTTAGCTACAAAGGTATGCATTCTCTAGCCTTTGCATCAACCTGCCATGTAAATAGATGTTAAGACCACTTATTCACCACATAAACTCATTTCATAACACTTAGTGTGGACTTCTAAAGCTGTAGATGGAATTCTGAATGTGCGGGACATTTATTTAGTGTCTTCTGTTTACATTGTTCTGGCCAGCTAAAAAGGAAGAAAAATGTGGGATGTGTGTTTCCTCTGCTGGAGAGTGTCATTTCTTGGACCATGTGTAATGCTGGGCAAATGTTTCACTCTGGGATTCATTTGCTCTAATTAGTCTGGCGTAGAACCATGACTTCTAAAGTGTGCTCTTAGTATCAGTGTTTTATGAGGACAATCCAAGAAGTAGGTAATATAAGAGTTTCATGGAGGAAGTCTGTCTCTGGGAGTTTGTTCAATAAAGTCAGGGGCAGGTGGTTTTGGGCTGGTCTTCAGTGGAAGAGGATGAGTGGGTCCACCTTCAACTGCTCTTTAAAATTAGAGCAACAATATTCTTGACACTTGATTGTGTGCTGAGTCATAGTCGACTCTTCTCTTTCTGATTTTGTAGTCTTTTCTCTAGATAATGGCATACAAACAACACATACTTTGTTTGAAACTGTTGAAATCCACTCTGGCTTAGAATTAGATACATGTGACTAGATATAATTTGCCTAACTGAACACACAAAAATGACTGAGGTGAAGTTTTGATATTCTTAATAATATTGACTTAGATGTGTTCTTGCTAAGATTAAATACCTTCCAGAGTGATCAAGTGTTTTTCATTATCTGGAACTTGAACTTTGGTTGCAAAACTTTGAGTATTAAGTTTTTCAAAGCACAGTTTCATAGATAAAGCAGTACAGGTTAGGTCCTTTAAGGTTACCCTCTATCTCTTCATTCTTTCATTGGAAGCTGGTGTTACCTGGGATGGTTAATGTATACCCTGCAGAGTTCTGCTTTTGGTACATGCCTTGGAATCAGTGATTGAGTACCCATAAAGGGTGATTTTTGTGTGGCTTGAAAGCAGTCATTTTTTAATGGGTCTCACAGGCAGCCACTTGCATTATGGCTGAGGTTTGCATTTGGCTGAAAATTATACTCTTTTCACAAGATTAGTATATATTTTGGATTATGACACTGTAATGTAGATTCATCCAGAATTCTTGGTACTGTTAAGCATAGTGTTTCATGCCTGTGATCTAAGCATTCTTGGTGCTGAGGTAGAAGGAATGCCAAAATTTCAAAGCCAGTCTGGACTACATTGTGAGTTCTAGGTCAGACCAGGCTACATAATGAGACCATGCTTAAAGAAATCAACAAAAACCAGAAGTACAGAAAAGAGGAGAAACAAATCTTATCTTCCCTTTGTTTTAGTTAAATGGCAAGTATGGTCAGTTGAAACAACTTTTACTCTTCTTTGGGATAGCCATAGCAAATGCAGCTGAAGCCTTCTAGGGTGGCTTTTCTTTGTCATTTATAGACTTTGATGCTTAAAGTATCCCGCCTTATTAAGACAGATTCAAGGGTGATGATCACGACTTTACATGTGTTCTTTAGAATTCATGACTCAAATTGTTGTGATTATGGCAACAAGTAGGAAGAACATCTTTGGTGGAAATGATGCTTATAGCAGACCTATCTTTGATAAAGGCTCCAAGTCCAGTAGGTAGAAAGTACAGTTCAGGTAACATTGGGCCCTCTTCACCTTTCTGTTTCTTGCTATGGTATTTCAATAAAACAAACAGAAAACCCATGTCACACGTGGTTGGCATAAAAATAGACTCATTCCAGTGATTGTCTTTTGAGAATGCGGGCATTTCCAAGCCAACAACTTGCCTTAGCTGTGTTGTTGCGCCTGCCTTCTGATGGATAGTAAGGTCTTGTGAGGGCTCCTGTGATACACTGGAGCTGAACCTCATTCTCCTTAGCAGGAGACACAGAATGTGAGAATTGCCTTTTGTAGCTGGTCTTGATACTTTTGCAGAAACATGGTCCTTATGAATGTACCAGTGGTTTTCAGATCAGTGTTAATGAGTAGGAGAGTATGAGATAAATTTGGTGGGACATGACTAACATACAGAACAAGGATGAAATAGACTACGAAGTATCAGGCTCAAGAGATGACTCAGTGGTCAAGAGTACTTGGCAGCTGTAGCATTTCAGAGGATCTGGGTTTGATTCCCAGTACCCACATGGCAGCTTCCAAATGTCTTATAATAAACTCCAGTTCTAGCTCCAGATCTGACATCTTCTTCTGGCTTTCACAGGCATGTAGTATATAGACATACATGCAGGCAAAATACCCATACACATAAAATAGAAATAAATAATTTAAAAAAATAGAAAGTGTCAGTTTCTATTTGAGAATTGATATTTCATAAAATGTTCTATGATTTACATAAAAGGCTAACTTACATTTAACCTGGATAACAAGTTGAACCCAAATAGATTTTGCATATAATGAATGATCTTTTTGTCATATTACATATCCAGAATTACTGTGAATACTTACCTTTATTCATTTATATATTAAGGCCCTTTGGAGAAAAACTTGGAAGCTCTAGTTAGTCTCGGAAAGGAAAAGCGGTAGAAGGTGACTGGTAGATGGTAATTGCTGCTATGTAGCAGGTAGAGGAAGTGACAGCCCTTGGGAAGATTCTGAATGGAATCTTCTTTGCATTTTGTTTGTCCTTGAACAGTTTCAGGAAAATTTGTATTTTAGTGGTTTTGGAAAAAATGAAGTGTACTGACTGCTTAGCTCGAAAGCAGATTCTGAATCACATCATGTCTTTAAAAACATTTTTTACAAAGTGCTGATGACTCAGGTGGGAAGTTTGTGTAATGATGCTTCAGGTCTAGAACTTTATTCTTTCAGATTTGCATATGTAATTTTTCCCTTGTGGTTTTCTGTTTGTAGGTGTGCCTTCTTCCTGCTCCTCCTCACTGGAGAACATGCTTTTGTTCAATAGTCCTTCTGTGGGTCCCAATGCTCCCAAGATAGAGGACTTGAAGTGGCATTCTGCATTCTTCAGGAAACAAATGGGTAGTACTTCCTTGGTTCATTCGATGAAAAAGTCCCATAAGCGAGATCCATTGCAGAATAGTCCTGGGAGTGAGGGGAAGACCTTGCTCAAGCAGCCAGCTCTGTGTGGTAGAAGGAGGGGGCTGGGGGTCCCAGAAAGATTTCTGAACTTTGAAAAGAGTTTTACAGAAGCACGTCTCATATCATCAGCACAACAGAAAAACGGTGTGGTGACACCAGACCATGGGAAAAGAAGAGACAATCGTTTTCATTGTGATCTCATTAAAGGAGACTTAAAGGACAAATCTTTTAAACAGAGTCACAAGCCTCTCAGGTCCACAGACTCATCCCAGAGGCATCTGGACAACACAAGAGCTGCCACCTCCCCTGGAATAGGGCAGTCAGCACCTGGCATGAGGAAGGAGATTGTGCCCAAGTGCAATGGCTCCCTAGTCAAAGTGCCTACAACACCTACCAGCCCAGTGAAAAGCTGGGGAGGATTTCGGATTCCAAAGAAGGGGGAACGACAGCAGCAAGGAGAAGCCCTTGAGGGGGCCTGCCACCAGCAATCAGACTGCCCCCACCTGGGTTTAGGCCGAGTTCCAGGCAAGGAAAGGGCAAAGAACAGGTTAAGATCTGACAGTGAGAACGATGGGTATGCCCCCGATGTGGAAATGAGTGACTCGGAGAGTGAGGCATCAGAGAAGAAATGTATCCATGCCAGCAGCACCATCAGCAGGAGGACAGACATCATCAGGAGAAGCATATTGGCCTCTTGATGAAGCAGACTGTGTGGAAAGCACGTGGCTTGTTGCTGGCCATGCTGAGGAGAGCTCTGGCATGGGGGCAAGCAAAAACCCATTATTTCTGAGCTACACAAACATTTTTCCTTGCAATTCAGATTGAATTTCTTTCCAGAGTCATTTATAAATCATTGTTGTGAGGTTTGTGTTATTTGCAACTTGTTGAGGAAACAGAAGGGTAGATTGTAACCACAAGACACTAAGATTAGAACCTGAAATAAACTCTAAAAATGAAGTAACTTAGAGAGGGCCAGGCTTGAAAGGCACCTTGCATTACTGCCCTCCACGTTTTTTTTTTTTCCAAAGCACAAACTCTTGGATACCCCGAGTACAGAATCAGATAGAATTCTGTGTTATGAATAAATCCTATTTATAGAAGCCTTCATGTACTATTTATAGCCCACAAAGCTCATTTTCTAGGAATGGTAAAAGCTGACATTATTTTGGCTCCCAGGCTGTGGGTGTGAGTAGCCGGGACTCAGAAACTTCAGCTACACTGGGATCTTGCACACGTGGCATCCAGGGGAAGAGTTTACACAACAGGCATTGATGGAAGGCTGGAGGGGCAGAGCAAAGCTGCTGAATTGAGATTTAGGGCCTGTGTAGCCTGTCCTGAGCCCCTGAGTGGGCTGTGGATATAGAGTGGGTGGAGAAAGTTCTGTGAGAAAGGGTGGCCAAGACCCAACCAAGTGTTACTAGTCCTCTTGACCTTCCTCTTTCCTCACTGCTGGTCCTATTCCTTGAACCCAATTCGGATTTCCCTGGCTACTGCCAGTAGTTGACCACCTGGCTTCCAATAACACAATGACTATTCAAGTTCAAGTGATGAACTTCAGACTCTGGTGATTTTCACTCCCCAGAGTTGACCACTAGTGCATATTGGGGGAATCCAGGCTTCCACCATGAATGGATTCCTTAAGCAAAAAGGAAAAAAAAAAAAAAAAAAAAAAAAAAAAGGAAAAAAAAAGAAAAAAGGTAAAACAGGTTATATTTTTAAAACAATAGAAAGGCAATATGTTGCGTCAAGCTCTTATATTGACCAAGACTATATAGGAAAGAAGTCAGTGTACCCTTGAATAGGTTTTCTGGAGTTGGAGTTCTAAACTCTGATTTGTAACTTGGACTTTTGAATTGCAAATGGCAATAACTAGTAAATTATCAGCAATAATAAATTTAGCATTAAATTTGAGTATAATGTTCTGTTTTTTGCACTCATGTGGTGCGTATGTATTCAGACAAGTGGATAGTGTTAAAGTCCTGTTATTTTCTTTGGCATTCAGTGTAGTTGTGAATCAAATTTAAGAGAAGGAAATAGCAATGAGATTTAGAATTAAGGGCATTTGGAATAAGCCCCATTTCCTCTTAATTACCCTTAGTTTGTTAATATCAATGTTCAGATTCCTGATTCATTTATACATCTGTTTCCATGTGGCAGGGACATTCTGATATTTAATGAACAATGCTTTGAGTTTGTAGAAGCTTTCAAGTCTTCCAGATGATCGTAAACAACAGAAAAGGCTTATTGAATTCCATCTTGCTATGCAAGTTTTATCAGATGATCAAATGACAGATCTGATGCATCCCATTGTATGTGTATTTTCAAACCAAGTCTTAACTTCTCAAGTACATTGTAGTAGCTAATTCAGGGGAGGGGAAAGGATGACCCAGGTTTTAGATTGACTATTTTTGAGCTGTGGAGCTCCTTTTGAGACTGCTGTCCAGATCAGCTTATTGCTACCGGTATTTGAAGGTTCTTAGGAGTCCAAGTTGTCCTTTCACTTGTAGACTAATTTAAAAATTAGATGTTTTGCATATGAGCAAAAACCTTTTGCTGGATCCAGGGAAAGGTTGGACTCTATCTATTTATCTTTGGATTGCAGCAACAGTTCTGGGTGAGAATAGAATTTATAGAGGAATAATTTGTGAAGCCATAGAAAGAAAACCTAAATTAATCTAGTGAGTATATAGCCTCCTACCAGTTTAAGAGGCACCAGATCCATTTGCACTATTAGGAATGCTAGTTTTGTGCAAAAATAATGCCTTACCTATTTTCCCCCCACATTTAGGTTGAAAAGCTTTCAAGTGTTCCAAGTTTGCTGAACCAAAAAACAAAACAAAATAAAAAAATAAAAAAAATTCCCCTACAAAAACAAAACAAAAAAATACAAGCCCACTTTTTATTACTGCTTTGAAGTTCAAATGGTATAGAGCACGGTTTCTGACGGTGTAACTACAGCTTTGTAAGTTAGTTTCATGTCATGCTGGGAACTCTGTATGAGGCGGCCATATGCAGCAACAGCCCACCTACCCACTTGCATTCTATTAGTATGGAGCTTTTTTGTTTGTTTGTTCTTTTGGATTTTCCTTGTGCATCCTGACCAAGAAATAACTTTGATTATGATCAATGTATTTATGTCAAAATGTAGGCTAGTTAAACTTTTGTAAAGTTGCCTGGAATGTCATTTGTTAGGTTATAAACACAAAATTTAAATGAAGGGTTTTATGTGTTGTGTACAAATATTAATTATTTTAAAATGGACAAACTTGTCATTACATTTGTAACCTTGTACAGAGGATTTTTCACTATGTGCCTAGCTTGGTGTCCATTCAGCTAAAATTGAAAAAAAAAAAAAAGGTGCATGAAGAGTTAAAATCAGAAGTTAAACAAAGTATATGTAGAGATGACTATTTTATATTACATGGCCCAATCCTGTATTTATTTCTACCCCCTTTTTGAAAGTATTTATAAAACTAGTTGAAGACAACTGTATTTTTTTGTTGAACTATTTAGTAGAATTTGTGCCTTTTTGTCTGTATGTGAATAAATGCTGTACATTTTGCAATACATTTTAAGTGTCGTGTTAATCTGTTTTTGGTTAAGGGTTTGTTGTCTTACTGTTACACGGTGAATGAGAACTGAAGGGGCTTACCTACACAGAGCACATGGAATCACTGGGCTGGTTTCTAGATACTGACACTAATAGTTGCCCATTAGTGTGGGTTCATTCCCTTCTACCCCTCCATGTGCCTCCTTGAGCTCTTCCCAGGATATTATTTGGGTCTGAACACAATTATTGAAGCAACAGACTTCAGGGTTTAAAGGCTGAGCTGTGGTTTACTATTCACATAACTATAGCCAAGTCATTCAGCCTCATGAACCTTAAGTTTTCCCAGAGGCTTATGCCTACCTCAACCTCCGCAAGGTGACATGCTTGTTATCCTGTAACTTTGGGGGTTGAGGAAGAAGAATCAGTAGGTACTTTCTCAAAAATGTTCAAAAAACACCCAAAACATAACTGGGTGTACTTCTGAGAGAGAACTCTTGTCTAGCATGTGCAAGACCTTGCTTTCCATCCTTCTGCAAGGGCCAATGTTTTGGTGTCTTATTGGAGTTTCAAAGCATGTGCTAGGCATCAAATCAAATCATGGTAAGCCATAGTTTTTCACCATTAGTATTTCAATGGCTTTCTATGACTTGGTGAGCCTGCCCAGGCTGACGTTATTCCTGAAGATTGTATTTATGAAGTATGTAGTACTTAACATTTTTTAGAGTGGTTTCATTAAATCACTTTGAGCACAGAACAGTGTAACAGTAGGTCAAATAAGAGGAATTGAACTACATCCCACCAAAAAGATGCCTAAGATCACAGCACTGGGACTTGACAAAACTGAGCCTCCCTCTAAATTTTTAGTTTTGAATATTTGCTGTAGAAACAGTCTCACACAATTAGTCCAGTCAAATGCACCTTTGTGTTGGAAGCAGCAAGCCTGATAAAGCGCACACATCTCGATGTAGATTATTATTAGACGCAGTGATAGCATGTCATTACCGCTCTACTCATATTTATAATATGCAAAAGTCTTTTCTAACACAAATAGCCAATAGTTGGCTAAATTCTTGTTTACTTCTCCTTGTCCTCCTTACTGACTATTTACTTCCATGTTGCTTGCTCTCATAAGACTCCAGAGAGAAATAACTGTGATTCTTCCTATAAGGTCTTCAAGTTGAATAAGCACAACAGCTCCCTAGGGAAATTAAGTCCCCAGGAGCCCAAGGAAGGGCCCAGTGTTGGCAGTTCTGTAATCTGTGATGGCAAATGTGGCACCAGGGATTTGAGTTCACGATTCTACCCAAATCAAGGAGAAAATGGTTCTGCCTTTGAAACATTAGCCATCTGCATCAAACTGCCACTAATTGCAACACTGAAATCTTTCCTCCAGTTTCTCTTTAATGCTCAGAACTGCATTAGACATTCAGTCTGGTCTATGCCTCCATTTTGAGAGCTCTGTCTCTAAAAAAATTAAAAGCTAATCTAATCTATCCTGTGCATTTCTTATTTTTTGCTGTTTTCTATGCAGCTGAATTCTGAGTATACTGCTTTCTCAAGGGGGAGTAATTCTCAGATTATACTGATGCTTGAGGCTTGGGAATTCAGTTTTTCTCTCTTGTTTTAGGCAGTGAGACTCTGGGAATTCTGTGAATGGTTTCTTCAATGGCCCGTTGTTCATCAAAGTCTCTACCATTCCAACCATTTCAGTCTTTTGTGGTTCCATCAACCTCTTCAGGGTTCTTCATTTCTTGCTAGATTGTTGCAGCAGCCTAGTCTTGTTTCCTTGACTCATGCTGTGCTGAAATGAACTGCTTCCCCTAATTAGCTGTAACCTTGCCAATGCTATCTCCACAGTAACAACTTCCAAATGGCAGATTCTGTCATTCTGTACAGCCTTCAGAGGAGCCTCCAGACTTGGTAATTACCAAGCTTATCAAGTGGCAAGCACTGGTCTGTGTTACGTATACGATTCCAGTCTTTGGGCAGGCTATGTTGTCTTTTTGCCAATGAGGAAACTGAGGCTCACCATCTGTGGGTTGATCTGGAAACCACTCCCAGCTAGTCTGATAGTCTCCAGGCTCTGCTGCTCTCAATATGAAAGTAGTCCACATAAAGCAATTCACATGCTCTTGAGGTCATAGAGGCCTATATATATTAATATTACTTCATGAAATCATATATAGTAAAATCAACAGTTTTGGCTTTACACATTATATTAAGAAACTATGAGCATGAAATGACAGATGTCCAGTCTGTTAGGGACTATGTTCTGCCTTTTGCCAGGAAGAATGCAATTACTTTAGCTATACACCTTCATGTAACTTATGGCAAAACAAATGCACATATGTAGAGAAAATAATACTGCTATTAGGAATGCAAATGCAATGTTTGGAAGACAAAATTATTTTAAATCAGTTTCTGGTATGAAGATTGTTTTGATACTTTAAATTGAAGTAATGCAAAAATCTCCAAATCAACATTTTTTTTTTTTTTTTTTTTTGGTGTGTGGTATTAAGCATAACAAACCTAGTCATTTCTATAAATGGATGAGCAATGCTGCTGGATGTGGTGATGTCTAATCCCAGTACTAAGGAACTGAAGCTGAATGACTGTCTGATGAAGTCTCAAATAAACAAATAAAAACAAGTAATGCCAAGTCAAGTAGCAAAGCAAAATGAATGGCACTCGTTCTAACACACTGCCAGTCTGTTCTGATAGTCTCTCCATGGCTTGGCTTGTATATAATAGAGCTTTCAAAGTATATTTGCCAATTGTGGGTTAGTTGGTTATTTTTACCTACGTATCTGGCTGGTGATTCTAATTTCAGAATTATTTCCAATGTAAAACCATTTTTTTTTTTAATTTCATGAAGCACATCTTTCCCTCTGTTGTTTTCCCACGCAGCATCCTCAAAGGCAGACTTTCTTCTTTTCCTCCCTAGCTGTGGTTCTGCTCCAGCATCAGTGTATGAATTGTTAAGTTCTTTTTGTTTAGAAAAATAGGATTTTCCACTGCTTGACTGGTATTTAGAATATGGACGCTTCAGTTTTCTAGGGTTGGAAATATTACCAAGTAAGTTCCACTAGATATAAAGACACTCATGGAAGTTTTCAAGGTACTAGTGAAGGCTTTTTGGGGGTAGGGTTTGAGTCAGAAAGGGCAGGATATGATGCCAAGACTCTTGAAGATGGCAGGTGAATGAAGAATATACACACTGTTGGAAGCTCCAGGAGAGCAGTCATCCTGTGAGGTAGATCACAAGAGCAAACCCCTGCCTTCAGTAGCAGTGAAAGGAGGTAAACTTAGGAAACTGGAGAGCGTTCAGTGTGTACTCAGGAGGGCTCACATCTGACTGAGGAATGCTTTTCTCCCAAGGAGTGGTACAGAGGATGGGGACTTCTCCTTATGACATGGCTTTCAAGAAACCCACACTGCACTTTCAATAACAGAAAGGGGAGGGAGGGAGAAGTTTGCTTTCTCACACTTTACTTGAACAGTGGCAAAAGGCCATTTTAAAAAAGAGCCCTGCTGAGCGGGCTAGGTAGACACTGAGACAAAGGCCCTCTGGGAGTCCAGACAAGTGTCAGTGGCCCTCTCAGACTGTAGAATACAGTCACTATGGAGAAGATGTGGAACCTGTATCTAGATGAGAGACGACATAGACCTTGGACCTGTACCCAGTACTCTTTCCTTCACTTTTGTCCTTTCCTTAGTTAATATCTAATTTAAATATAATGAATGTGCTTGTTATGGAATATTAGTTTAAGATGTGTTGTTACATTTGTTTATGCTGTGAAATTTTTGTGTAATGATGAAAAGATGGGCTGCATTCTTTTATGTTACATTTGTTTAACTCTATAAAGCTGTGTTACTTTGCCTGTAACACCTGTTTGGACTAGGGATTCTCTCCTGTCTCTAGGTTAAGGCAGTTATCCCTCCATGGGGGATGTGTTAGCAAGGTCCTTTTGTGCACCAGGGATACATCCTGGCTCCACTGTCTGAGGTCCCTTAGACTGCTCAGTCCTTCTGGCTGAGACTCATATTCAGGGGGGCCTGAGTCAGTCCCATGCTGGCTTCCCAGCTATCGGTCTGGTGGCCTGTTAGCTCCTCCTTGTTCAGGTAAGCTGTCTCTATGTGTTTCTGCTGCCTGGTCTTGTCCTCTCCATCTGCTTCTGGGTTCTAGTTCGACTCAGTGTTTATGTATGGGTGTCTGCTCCTGTTTCCAACAGGTATTAGATGAGGGCTTCTGTCAGATCTACATGATCCTAACTGGCTGGCATTCCCCTACATATGGAATTGGGGTGGGGGATGGGAGGGGAGGGTGGTTAGAGTGCATGTGAGAGGGCAGAGAGGGTAAAAGGGAGGGAGGGAGGGAAGGAGGGAGAGGGAACTGGGATCGACATGTAAAATAATAAATTAAATTTAAAAAAATGCTTTGACTCCAAAATTTAAGTTCAAGGACAAGTTACTGGGGAAAAGGATTTCTATTTTTGTTTCCACAGAAAATGAACAGCTGTGGATTCCTTCCAGACTAATGTGGTTTGATCAAGCCAGGCCGCCTGAAACAGAGTACCAGGTGATCCTACATTCAAAATAGATGGACAAAGCAGCCTTACAGACTACAGCCAGGATTTCTGCATCCCCCATGACAGCGTCCCTTACTAGCAGGAAGTAGTTTGGAAAGAACAACGCCTAAATTCCCAAATATTGGCTATAAATGTTTGTTTTCATTTAAATGAATTTGGTTATATAAAATAAATTAAAAAAAGAAGAAAAAAATAATAAAACACCTGTTTGGTCTAATAAAGCGCTGAATGGCTAATAGAAGAGAGAAATACACAGGGCTGCCAAGAAGAGGGAATAAATAGAAGCATGTGAAGAAGAAGGAGCAAGAAAAGGGAAGAGAGGAGGATGCCAGGGGCCAGCCATCCAGTCACACAGCCAGCCATGGAATAAGAAGGGGATAAAAACGTTATTGAATAAAGGTGAAAAGCCCAGAGGCAAAATGTAGAAGAG